GACATCATAACCCACTGAACACCTGCTTCCAATCCTCACACGTTTTCCAATCTTATTTAAAATGTTTATGTGACTTCCTTGTCTTTTTTACAGCTGCTTGGTAAATGCCATGTGCATATTTGTAGGGCTGTATGCTGCTGTCTTTCATAGGCCAACTGCTGCTCTAACATAGGTTGATGTCTCACCAAGGGAAGCATAAACGGGTAACAAGGAATCTGTTTTCAGACCTATGTCCATTCCACCTGTTAAAAGAAAGTGTTTTGTACATAAGGGGCCCACCAAGGTATCCAGTGTGGTTTCAAGATCTCCCAGTGATTCTAGACACACACATCCCATCATTTTGTCTTAAATAATACCCTGGCAAAAGCAGCTGCTGGCTGAGATTAGTATGTGTAACCATTTTCATATATCTCACAGGCTTCAGCAAGATTTGTGGGCATATTAAGCTTTTTCTAAAATACAAGCAATAAAAGGAATGCAAATGCAGGGCTGATGCCCAGGTTTATCACATACCATTCACATTGACGAAGTTGAGAGCATGATACATTTCCTCACTGGTCACTAAGACCCCCAGAACATCAAGGATAGGATGGAGGTTACTGACATGAATCTTTCCTGATTTAAGGCTGCTGAAAACTATGCAGGCTCTGGAGAGTCCCACCCACTCTACACCTTCTGGAAAGGAAAGATAAGAATAACTAGTGCTAGAGCTTGCTTTTACAAACAAAACGCAAAGCTGCCTGAAAAAAGAATCACAGGAAAAGAGATAAGGATAAAACCAGATGTTTTGGGAAGTGTATATTAACTACCAGTGGCCCAATGTTTTGCTCCTGCAACATGATTTCCTCAAAGATACACAGACCAGCAACAGGATGTGCAAATAAAGCCTATGTTTACTTTTTGTTGAGCAATCAAAAAACGATGCTGATTAGAATATAAGATTATGAATAACGTACTATGAATAATTTATTTATTTTATTTATTGATTTGATTTTGATGCTGATTAGAATATGAGATTATGAATAACGTACTATGAATAAGAATAACGTACTATGACAAACAGATGTCTTTTAGCACTTGGGACATGGTGGTGCTGCGGGTTAAGCGGCTGAGAATAAGAATAACGTACTATGACAAATAGATGTCTTTTAGCACTTGGGACATGGTGATGCTGCGGGTTAAACCACAAGCCTCTGGACTGCAAGATCAAAAGATCAGCAGTTCGAATCCATGCAACGGAGTGAGCTCCCATCGCTTGTCCCAGCTCCTGCCAACCTAGCAGTTCAAAAGTGTGTAAAAATGCAAGTAGATAAATAAGTACCACCACGGTGAAAAGAAAATGGTGTTCTGTGTCTAGTCGTGCTGGCCACATGACCACAGAAACTGTATACGGACAAACACCGGCTCTACAGCTTGGAAACAGGGATGACCACCGCCCCCTAGAGTCAGACACGACTGGACAATTGTCAAGGGAGAGCACTTGAAGAGATCTAGTTATATGACCTAGCTTGACCCCAATCTATCACCTAGTGAGAACCTCATCTAAGGTTTGCAAAAGTTAGTTTCTGGGCTGCAGATGCCAGAATCCTCCAGCTAGCATGACCATTGGCCACTAATCCATTCATATAAAACAAAAACATCCATTAACAGCCACTGTTGACATTTGAGCATGGATGGAACCAGATCAATTGAATGTACTTGTTTCTGGTTTTTTACATGAATGTGTGGCCTTTGTAGGTTTATTTTTGTTGTTTTATTATGGTGTCTTTTTGGAACGTATAAATAACAAAATAATGAAACATAACAATAAGTTATTTTAAAATTAATCTGTGATGTTACAATTTTTTTGAAGTTATAAATAATAAAATAAGTAAACCTAAGGATAAATTCATGTATCTGGATGGTTCCCACCCACTCACCCAAATCTTGGTTTCACGGATCCCTTCCATTAAAGCAATATTCCATGAATTACCTTCCCAGGAAGTTCCTATATGATGTTCTCGATCAATACCTTTCCACCCATCACAGACATTGAAGTAGATATTATAGACAACATTAGGTCCCTTACTCCTGCCAAAACAAGAGCAAAAGCTTATTCCTATAATGATTTTGCTTAGTCTCAATGTAGCTGCTGATCTGTGGCAAAACAGAACTGCAATGCATCAGATCAAAGAGCAGAAGATATCAGGATTTTAATGTTTTCAGTTTTCTTTATGGTGTTTGGTTTTAATTGGTACCTTTATTTGCTGGCCAGTTATGCACAGGACCAGCTACTCCTACTCTTTAGCAACTGAGGATCACTGCCCTATCATATATACATTGCTGAGTATCTCATCTCCTTTCCTCTTACCCTCTTTTCTTCGTTCTTTCTCTGTTCCTCTCAGAATCAAAATATATGTTAAAAATAATCTATTAGAAGTGAAATTCCTTATTGGAGAAAGCATAAGATCATCATAGCAGGAGCTTTTTTTATATACCATACAATCCAGAAAATCTTGTTTGTTTTTCCAATGGTCTTTGGGAGCTCAGCACAGTTTTGTTTACGAGTCTGATTTCTCAGCCCCCAAAGGCCTGCCTCATTAATGTGACTTCAGCTCTAATGACAGGTTATCTGCAGTGTTATAGTTTGGCCCCCACACAGGAACTAACAAACGTCAGAGTCGTTTTGATTTTCAAGAGCTAAAGCCATGCTCTCCTCAGTCTCAGGCAAATTGGAGGGGTAGAAATAATGCCCACTTCCACCCCACGGACAGAGACAAAGGCAAAACATGTGACAGAAAGGCTGACAAGATAAAAGGGAGCAGGTCCAGAAGATCCAGAAGAGATGAGAAGATACACACAAAAAAATGAAGATAAAAGGAAACAGGAATCTCGAAAAACAAGAAGAAAGAGTCTGGAATACTCACTTTCCCTTCTTCACTGTCGGGGACGAAGCCCATGCAACAGTACTGCAGAGAGAGCAAGGATGATGATCACTAAGCAGCCACCTGAATTCTCATTCCCTTCCCGTTTACATGAAACCTGACGCATCGTGGATGCTGTCATTCCAGGGCTGTTTCTATACCACTCTGGGCAATATCTATAACTTCAGCCTTTTGCAGTGGAGCGGATATTATATGGCTTCCAAGAGATGCCTAAAAGTCTACCGCTACAGGCAAGTATAAACATGCAATGGTTTTTTTTTACTTCATCAGAAATTGCAGGTTTCATTACAGGTAATGTGGGAGCCTTTGCACCATTGCTATAGCCATCTTTCTCCAGGCCAAAAATAATTGACTAATTGAATCTATCTTGAATGACTGAACCCTCCTATGAAAATTAAGAACCAATTTATTGAAAAGCCTTTGCCAAGGGCAGTTCCAGGTGCACCAAGAATGAGGGGAACCACAAAGCTCAACCCATATTTATTTCTTATCTAAAATCTCATTTGGTGTAGAATTCACAGAATTACTTTGGACCCATCAAGAAGTCAAGGGGAAAGTGTTAATGTGAAGTAAAGACCAAATAAAACAAAAGAAGCCAAAGAGTATAATGCTAATCCCTTTGAGACTTTGGTATCTTTGGGACATTTCCAGAAAGCTTTTTTCCCCCTGAGGGGCCCTTCTACTAGTGTCAGGAGCACAAAAACACTCTCCATATTTAAGTGCTAAATAATGTTTGCCTCGAACCAGGACAGTTTGGTCATCTAAGCAGAGGGAGAAAGAGCTGCTCTAAATGGTGGCATCTCCCAATCAAATGGGACTCAAATAGGGGAGAATATTAATTTTCCGAGAGTCAAATAGGTAAGACTGCTAGATAAGGGGAGGGATGGGGGAAAAGAGAGGCTTGACTTACTGCACTGGGGATTTCTACCTGGCTGCCACTCGCTTTGGGGGATGACTGCTAATCCCTTTGTTCAAGATTCCGCTCCTTTTGTGCATGCCTCCGCCGCTCTGGCGCATGCTTCCATTGCCATTGCTCATGTGTCCATTCCCGCTGTACAAGTTGGGTGGGCTGGTCTTGCTTGGAGATACCTGGACAATCGCCTTGTCCTCGTTCTTTTTCTTTAGGACTAAAGGAGGTGGCCTTTTACGGAGCCTCTCAAAGGACTGGGAAATCTGGTGGTGAGGATGGTGGAGTTGTGACCACAGCACATGTTTAGCCATAACACCTGTTAATCTTGAGTGAAGAAGCATGATGGGATTGCAGTAAAAGAGAACCTTTCATTGGCATCTAGTCATGAGTGATCTCAGTTAAAAATATATAATCCGATGCTTGAAGATATGGTTTCAGACACTGACACATACACACACACATGTGGAATCATAGCAAATGGCAGCTGGAATCTCTCTCCTTCTAGCAGCTAGCTGGATGAGGAAAACAACAACAACAACAGGCCAGCAATCTGCAACAGGGCAACTTGTAGCTCTCCAGATCCTGTTATACTGCAGTCCCAGTCGATGCTAACTAATACCCCAATGGTGAATAATGCTGGGAGTTGTAATCCAACCACATTAGGAGGACCACAGTTGTCATCCTCTTTCCAAAGTGGTGGAATATTCTAATTGTAAAACTACCCACATTACAAAGCTACAATTAAACAATGTCGGCAGTGATGAAAGATCTTAACCGAGAAATGTAGACTATGGACCCTATGTAGGACAACTATTATGTATCATGCAAGTACACTCTTCGCCATGAAAAATGATGACGGTACAGCCATAGAGAAGCTCACAGCTTGGCGATGACTCTGCATCTCTTTGGATGTCAAATATGACAGTCTGGAGTTTCCCAGATCTCCCTGACACTTTCCACTGGATACCATCATTTCATGGTCTCTCGGGTCTTTTACAGAGTTTCTCCCCTTTTAAAAGTCTGAAACTGGCATTACATAATGGAAGTAAGACCTTTAAGCGAAAATAAGCTGGGTTTGTTTTTTGTCTCACTCCTCTGCTTTTGGCCCCCATGCTCCCACAGAATGTGGCCCCTGTGAACTTCTTTGACCCTGAAGTCAACGTTCAGGCTGAAAGAGATTCCTCTTCATACCTTGCCCTCCTCTTTGGTTTTTAAAAACAGAGAAGAAAGAAACCAATTGGAGATGTGACTAACAACATTAATACTGCCCCAAGATAGCCCAGTGTTTTTAGAAACAAAGCAACTCTCAGGAATCCCAAGAGAATACCATCAAGCATCTTGGAGAAGATGACGGGGGGCGGAATCCTTAGTTAGGAGAGAGCAGTATCAGTCATTTGGTCTTGTTAATCCATTCTGCAAAACCACTGCTGAGGACAATGTGCAGAGGGGATTGGAATGAAGACAAATTAAAGGAGAAACCAGCTGTTATGACCCCTAGTGAGAAATCTCTTATATCCAGGTGTTATGGCTCTCACCTGAGTAGCTTTGTTCTCACAGGCAGCAGGAGGTGATACCCTGGGGATGATACTTCTCTGAGGTGGTTGTGTTCCAGGTAGTGGCAAGCGCCGCATGAGCAGCTTATTACACTGTGTAATCCAACATAAAGGACAATTGCCAGATCAAGAATTACACTGAAAATCATACAAATATAAAGAGCTGGTGATACTTTTTATTGGACCACTAAATATATATATATCAAACGAACTGCAAGCTTCCATGGGGAAAAATCCACTTCATCAGGCTAAACACCACCATGTCATTGGTAATGCTAAATCAATCAATCAATCAATCAATCAATCAATCAATCAATCAATCAATCAATCAATCAATCAATCAATCAATCAATCAATCAATCAATCAATCTTTATTTTTAGATACTGGCATACAGTGGTCCTTGTTAACAACTCAGTGTCACTCAGTTTGGCACTTTTATTAACTGCACTGACCCCTTTGGCTAGATTTCCTGAACTATGAAAATGCTATTATATCAGGTATAGTCTAGCATTAATCCAGTGGCTATTTGCGTAAACTATAGCTCTCTCACCTGAATTGCCTTATCGGCAGTTTTGGGTTTGAATTGTTGAGAAAGAAATCCCTGAAGTGGTGGCCTTCCAGGTGCTCGGTTCCGTATATTCACTGGCCTGTGGGAAAGTGAAAAGGGCAGTCTATTATAGAAGGCTTCTTTTCTACTTCATTTGTCTAGATCAGTGGCTTGAGTGCCCAAAATGAGGGGGTGGGGAAGAAACCAGTGGCTGCCGTGCCGCCTGGAACACCAGAACTGGAACAAGAAGGGGCAGTTTCAAGGGGAATCATGGGGACGGACAGGAAGTTAAAGGGGGAATCATGGGGATGGACAGGAAGTTAAAGGGCCCAGAGCAGGAAGAAAAAGGGGGAATCCCAGCTGCAGCCACTTCAAAAGGTTTGTCGAGTGCCAGAAGAAAGGGCTTCACGTGCCAGCTGTGCCGTGCGTGCCATAGGTTCGCCATCACTGGTCTAGATGCTTGGCACTTGGGAACTTGATAGCAACAAAGACTGGAAGTAGCTAGTTCGTCACAGGAATTGGTAGTCCTGCTGGATCAGCAGAATTATATCTGTCATTTCAGAGCAGCTGCCTCGCAGCTCCTGTCACAAGGTGGACAAAGTTTAGCCTATAGGCCATGTGCAAACTGTCCCCTGTGAAGCCTGTGCTCTGGGTATGTTACTTGCCTCTAAATATTATTTTTCTAGAGCTTTTCAGGATGGAAAAGAAAAAAAGAAAAAAGGCCCAGGAGAGAGTTCAGATTGTAGCCCAGAAATTATTAGTGGAGAGGAGTATGTTCAAATGTCAAGGTTTGGAGAGGATTCAGCCCATTATGGTCCTGTGGAAAGCCACATTGATTCCTGACCAGTTTCAAAAGTTGCCCATCCCTTTCTACCTCAGAAGAGCCCTGTATTGAGTACTGCTATGGATCTCCTGTGGTCTTCATACTAGGCTGCTGGATCTGACCATCGTTTTGACTTTCTGCCATACCCTCCAAGTCAATGTGGCAGCTGGACAGTGCAGCTCATGTTCGTGTGGAGACCTGCCACCACAGGTAGTTAAACCCACTAGTAGGGCCTGATAACAGGAAGGGAATGCACTAGAGCAGTGCTTCCCAACCTTGGGTAACCCAGGTGTTCTTGAACGGCAAGTCCCAGAAGCCTTCACCACCAGCTATGCCAGCCAGGGTTTCTGGGAGTTGCAGTCCAAGAGCACCTGGGTCACTCAAGGTTGGAACCACTCTAATCTGCCTTCTTACATTGCTCACATTTTCTATGCCAATTCAACTTAAGTTCCTTAAGCTAAGAGTACATCATACTGTGGAATTTGCACATTTTAAGAAAATAACACTCTTGGATTACAGTCCCCAGAATCCCAATGGTCTTGGTGACTGGAAAATTCTGGGAGATCTAAAACAAAATAGTCTTCTATGTTCTGGTAATTTGCCCAGTCTGTCAAAAGACAGCCAACACAAGACTCTGCTTGTATGTTGGGAGAGAAATTTAGTCAATTATTCAGTTCACATTGCTCTATTTTCCCTTAAAATTTGCTTTTCTATAATTTTGCAATGGCATTTTCCCATCAAGTATGCACACAAAAATACATATTAAATGTGTATAGAAGTGAAAATAATGTTAAAATGTATAATATTAGGGAAACGCCTTGCAGAAATTAGGCCAATTTTGTACAAAAAAAGACATTTTAGAGAGAATGCATGCACAAGCACAAATAACTGCACATGTTATTTTTTTTTAAAAAAATGCTGAATATGCAGGACAAATTAAACATAAGTTTAGAAAAATTCTCAAAATGTTGGGCAAACCAGATATAAGACCCGAGCAATCTCAAACTTAGAAGAACCCAAACTGACAGATATTCCTCTTCCTATGCCATGTGCATGGTGTGGGGCTGAGCAAACCATATACACTTAAAAGTGAAAGCCTGATATTCACCACAGGTGCCCTTTAACTGCCAGGTAAAAGAGGGAGTCTCTAACAGCATGTAACGAAGTTGGGGAAGCTCTTTTGGCCTGAGGGCTAAATTTAGTTTCAGATAAGTTCTCAGGGTCCGTATTCCAGTGGGTGAAACGGGACCAAAGGAAAAAGGGTGGGATCAAACCTTCCAGGACATTTTTGTGTAAAGTTCTTACTGTTAGCTAAATAAACCATAGAAGAGAGCTTTCCACTTTTTAAAATGGAGGGAGATGGATATAGATGATATAAAAACCAGGAAACCACAAAATGGCAGTATCATGGAAAAGAGGCCATGGACATCTCAGGCAACCTAGGAGGGCCAAATTTGGCCCAGGCGACTAAATTTCTTCAATAGTGACCTGTACATGCATGGGGTTTGCCGTTCTCAGTGGTCTTCATTCAGAAGCACCAACCAACCACAAGACAGACACCCTACCACTGACAAAAACAAAACACAAAACAAAAAACTACCCTCACTTGCTCATTAGGAAGGGGGATAATGGATCGGTCAAAGGTGGTGGGTTTCTGAAGGAAATAAAGAAATAAACGTCTTCCTCACAAAGGTCACTTGGAAAAAAATTCCATGGAAATCTCACACAATGGACTAAGATGGGGTGGGCATCTTCTTTGTGCTCCCAAATCTTCCACAGTCCTCATGGAAATGAAAATTGCCATTTGGTAGTTTCTTTAAAAAAATACAAAGTAAGCAAGTAGTTTGTATTTTTAATTTCTTGGAGTGTGTGAAGGGATTGATGCTCAAGGCCCACAAAGTGGAAATCATTGCTGCTAGAGGAAGAAAACCATAGGGGTCTTTTGTGTGTGTGTGTGTGTGTGTGTGTGTGTGTCTGTGTCTGTGTCTGTGTCTGTGTGTTTCCTTATCTGTACAGTATGACTCTTAGGGACACTTTGGGCTGACAAAATGCCCCTGAGGGTCACAAGTGGATGAAAGACCCAGTTGGCCCATCCCTCACCTTAGAAGAACAGAAAGAGATCCCCCTGGCCTTCTGCATGTACCACAGAGAATCTTCGGTCACAATATGTGCATACCTGGTGTAAAGGTTATTCCTCTGTTCGGTATTACTGGCTTCATCCTTCTGTTTTTTAGTGGGTTTCTTCCATGATGTTGTGTCGCTGTATAGAGAAGGTTCCTTCTCACTCTTGTTCTGAGAGGTGTCCACTTGTTCTTCAGTCTTCTCCTTTAGGTCTTGGGGTTTACTATCTTCTGTCTGTGCCTCCAGAACACTGCTGTGGCTAGGAGGGGGAAACAAGCTCAAGCACAAACATGAATAGGTAGAAACATCTCAGGTAATATCCCAATCCACCTCCAACACAGTTTCTCATGTTTGTTGTGTGTGGGGAAAATTTATGCTGTTATGGTGGGTGAAGGGAATACCGTTGTTCCCCCGCATAGCGACGTTAATCCGTTCCAGGATTAATGTCGCTATCTGGATTCGTCGCTATGCGGGGGGGTGGAACCCATAGGAATGCATTAAACTCCGTTCATTGGGGAAAAACTCACTGCTATGTGGGGAATCCTCCATCCAGCTGCCATTTTCGCTGCCCGGTAAGTGAGGGCAGGGTGTGAAAACGCTGCGGGTGGCCATTTTGTTAATGCGGCGTCCATTTTGGAACCGCCAATCAGCTGTTTAAAAAGCATCGCAATGCGATAATCGGTAAGCAAAACGCTTACCAATCATCGCAATGCAATGTTTAGCCACCTAAAACATCGCAATGCAATCGCATTAGCGATCGCAAAAAACGTGTTGCTATGCGGATTGATCGTTAAATGGTGCGCTCGTTTAGCGAGGCACCACTGTATTATAGCTGGCATATAAGTTCATTTGTATCCTTATGGAAGAAGGTTGCAATGGGGAAAAGATCTTAATGGGAGGGGGATTTTTCTCCACTGCAGAACTTATTATTCCTTGAGAGGAACCCAGCATCTGTGCTGCTCATCCTGTTTGACAACCAACACTGGGAGCTGAGCAGGGGAGTCAGACGATGCTGATTCTCTTGTTTTTCTTGGTAGCATTCCATATTACCAGTCAGTCACCGCTAGTGACTCCAGGTTCTGCTGTGATGTGAATCCATTCTGGGTTCTAGCCCACACTTTAGGGGAGTTATTCAAGATGCTGAACATTTTTGGGAGGACAGTTCCTGTGAAGAACAGATTAAAACCTGAAATGGATACACAATACCTCAGAAACTGGAGTCATCAGCTACCACTGCTATCAACGTGGAGATATTGCAGATCCTCTCTAGTGATTTTCCAGGGTTTGCAGGTAGCCACATAAGGAAGAAGAGGGATGAAAAAACTTCCCTGCAGTGAATTTCTTTTAGGTATTTTATCCTAACATCCAAGCCATAGACATGACAATCAACTGTATGATAAAGCAACATTCTATGGTAAACTTTATGGTAGAAATAGTCGTTGTTGTTGTTGTTTAGTCGTTTAGTCTTGTCCGACTCTTCGTGACCCCATGGACCAGAGCACGCCAGGCCCTCCTGTCTTCCACTGCCTCCCGGAGTTGTGTCAAATTCATGTTGGTTGCTTTGATGACACTGTCAGTAACCAATAATATTGCAGCAGGGCAGACTTCAGAGCACAAAATAACTGAAGAGAGAGGAGAATAATTGTGCCAAGCAGTAAATAAAGAGACAGCTCAGGAATGCAACATAGGCTTCATATTGCAAGGTCAGAAGGCCACTTACTCATCTATCCTGGATTCAGGGGAAGAAGAGCTAAGTCGTTCATTCTGCCACTCTGCCATACTGACATACTCAGAATCAGGAACAGAAGACAGGACCGACTCCTCATCAGGGTGTTGTTCTTCTAGCATCTTCATCTGTTCTTCAGCCCAGTCTTTTAAATCTTGGGGTTTACTGTCCTCGGGTTGTTCATTTAAACCTTGTAGTGTGCTTTCTCCAGCTTGCTGACCAGGGTCATGGAGTCTGAGGTCTTCAGACACTTCATCTAACTCTAGAATTTCGCTGGTCTCTCCAGCTGACTCACCTAACTCTTCAGGTTTGGCCTCTTCAACATGTCCCTCTGGGCCTTCAGATTTGCTATCTTCTGCCTGCTTATTTGGGCCTTGCGGCTTTTCTTCTTCGGCCGGCGCATCTTGAAGTGGGGATCTGTTGACTTCAGCCAGCTCATTTAGCTCTTGGGAGTTGCTGCTGTCCTGGGCATTTTCATTTAGCTCTTTGGGTTTGCTGCTCTCTTCAATATTCTCCCCATTTGGTTTTTCAGGTTTGCTGTCCTCTACCTGTACAATTTCAGCTTTGCTTTAAGGAAAGGAACAAGACAAACCCAGTCACAGACATGAATAAAACACAGGATTGTGACAGCATTGGATCATAGGCACTCTCAAAAATCTAAGAGGAGGACGAGGAATTCTTTATCATCATCATCATGCTGTAGAACTTTGAAGAATAATTTTTATTTCAGTATGAGCGTTTGTGGATCAAACTCCACTTCCTCAGTTACTTGGAAATCATCATCATCATCATCATCATCATCATCATCATCATCATCATCATCATCATCATCATTGTTCCTAACACAAATCTCTTTGCCAAATACATGAATGGGTTGGGCATCTGTACACTGCATATTTAAACCATTTCAATCCTGTTTAACTGTAACATCTCCTAGTAACTTTATGAATGTTCTGTAGAGCTCTAATAATACATTTGTGGAAAGGATTTGTACTACCCAGTTGTAGTAGTTGAGTTGTGATTCCATACTATAGTATCCTAAGATGATTTCACTTTAGCTGTTGTGATTCCATACTATAGTATCCTAAGATTTGTAGCCCTGATTCTCAGTTAGTAAGTTCTAGGTCATTCACTTGAACTACTACAAAGAATTGTAACTACTTCACCAAACTATAGAATCAAAGATCCCACAGGATGCAACCATAACAATTACGTAAATTGGGATCAAACTACTATAACTCTGTAGTGTAGATACATACTTAATGTTCTCACATAACATAATCCCAGGATTTGGGGTAAGTAAACACATGAATGAGTTGTTCCCATATACAGTATAAGAGGATGTTCTAGTCAGGTTGTTCCCACTTGTTTAAATTGTTATCATATACAGTATAAGAGGATGTTCTAGTCATCTTTTATTTTGACTTTAAGAAACCAACAACAATAAGTTAGTACGTTATAGTGTGTGTTATGTGTCATCTTGTTGGAACTGATGTACAAGGACCCTAAGAGGGCTTTCTGGATAGGATATTTAAGGAATGGTTTTAGTAGTCCCATTTATAGGGATGTGGTGGCACCACAGGTTAAACTGCAGAAGCCTCTGTGCTGCAAGGTGAGAAGACCAGCAGTAGTAAGATTGAATCTACACGACAGAGTGAGCTCCCTTCGCTTGTCCCAGCTCCTGCCAACCTAGCAGTTCGAAAGCATGTAAAAATGTGAGTAGATAAATAGGTACCACTACGGTGGGAAGGTAACAGTGTTCTGTGTCTAGTCGCGCTGGCCACGTGACCACGGAAACTCTCTTTAGACAAATACTGGCTCTATAGCTTGGAAACAGGGATGAGCCCCGCCCCCTAGAGTCGGACATGACTGGAATAAATATGAAGGGGAACCTTTACCTTATTTTTACTTCTCACCCTTGGTGAGTTTCCATAGCTGAGTGGGAATTCAAATCCAGGTGTCATGGTCTGTTACTCTACTCAGTATACCACACTGGGTATCCATATTTTATAGCACAATCCCAGTTATGAAAACAGAGATAAGGTTGGCCTTAAACCTTTCATGAAATAATGACAGATTTTGATTTTCAGTTTTTTCAAGGTATTCGCCAATATTAATGTAAAATTCACAATATTTGACATTTTTAATGCAAGTATCAAAAATATGGCCAAACTGTAAATATGTTCTGTATTATATTTGACTTGTCTGGTACTGTATATGGCTTTTATCAAATAGGCTTTTACTGTGAGCTGCCCTGGAGTCTGCACTAGGAGAAAAGTGGAAAATCAAAACAAAACATGATAGAGTCACATCTCCCCCACAGAAACCATTTTAGGTGTGAAAAGGAGCTGAGAGAGAAGTTTTGCTTCTCTGCTGTTCACAACCTAACCTGGCTGAAGCATGAATGTTGTTGTTTTTTTATCTCAGAGATAGCTTTTCTTCTTCCCAGTAACAGAGGCATTATCAAGGCCATTCTAATAACTCTGGTGACATGACAGTTTTATTTGTAGTCCTTTTCAGGTGATATTCACCTGAAAGGTACTGCACGATCAGTGGCGTACTGGTAAATCTGGAAGTGCAGGTGCTCATCATGACAGCCCCTATAGCCTTATCCCATAAGGAGAATTTAAAAATGCAGGCAGGCAGAAGCAGTTTGTTTCCACAAATGAGGAGCAGATTCTCTGTAAGGCTAATGGCTCTAAATTGCCCCTTAAGACCAAATTACCCTTTGTACTATAGCTATGCCTCTCTCTCTCTCTCTCTCTATCTTTCCATCTTTCCGTCTGTCTGTCTGACTGTCTGTCTGTCTGTCTGTCTGTCTATTTATTTATTTATGTATTTATTTATTCGCTGTCTTACTCCTGATAAGGGGACTCAAGGCAGCCCACAGTAGTAACAACAATCTTGCAACAATACACTGCTACTGGGAAAACTCACTTCTCTCTCAGCTATTGTGGGGACAATAATTAAAGTGAGAGGAATCAGGGAATCCAGAGGGTGTGGTGAATGTTGTCATGGCTTCTCCTACTAAGAAGGTCCTAGGCCTCAGATTCTGTGAGCCCTGGCTCCACTATACCAGTGTGCATGATTAAAAAAAAACTGCCATTTTGACCCCACTCACAACACTGTGTCCTTCTCGTGGGCCCTACAGTCTGATTGAGCCTGGACTCATACTGATCCTTACACAGAGACGTTTCCTTCAGTAGTAAACTAGACTCTAGGCTACCAGGGCTCTAAGATCTGCCTCAGTTGCCCACAGTTGTCTATAACCCATTTTTATGAGGGTCCCATCATAAGTGGTTCTAAGTGACCTATTCTGAGCAGGAGCTCTCCTTTAACACTGATTTAAATTGATTTACCCTCACATCTCTGTTTCTAGGGGAAAACAAAGTCATTTTGGATTATTATGACAATGATGACAATGATGATGGCAAGGCAGTTTCTGAATGTATGTTCTAAGACAATGTACATTCTCTTAACCTCCCTGCTCGTGCAGCCGGGTTTACTGCTGTCTTTTGGTGGTACACCAAGCCAGTGGATTAACCTCTCAAGTTTGTGCTAAGGAAGTTTTTGCCATGGGTGGCTAGGCAAGGGGCACATCCTCTAAACTTGTTCCATCCAAGTTAATGGCCCTGCATTGACGTTCCAGAGGGCTTGGTGACACATAGAATTGGCCTATCTAGGAAATCAGAAAGCCTCCTTTTCATGAGATCACAGCCCAGTCATTTAGGATGGGGATGTGCAACCTCCAGATGTTCTGAGGATACCCAGGACCATCCGTGGAACTTAGATGGCCATATCACTCCTATACTCCCTTACTCTTCAAACATAGCACTTTAAAGCTGAAAAACTTCCTTTATAACCTTTAGTGACCAAACTCTTGGATGGGAGGATGCAGTTGATAGGTCTTCAAAACATAGCAAAATTGATATCCACACATTAGAGGGACCTATAGAATTTTTCCAAATCAATTGTTATTAAAAAAAACACTGGGGGGGGGAATAAAAGGGCTCTCTTTGGAGAGATAGTACACATTGCCTATCCTTGATTTGGGAAAAGACCAGATCAACTTCCTATTGGGGGCTATATTTCCAGAGGGGGAAGATTTGCAAAGTGATCATGAGGATATCTGTGCAGACTGTGACAAAGCACTGCAAAAAAAGAGATTTTCTTCTTCTACAGAAGTGGTAGTTGTAATCCATCAATGTGAACACAGCCCACCAGCCACATAAGGAAGCCTTCTGTTTTTTTTTCCTGATTGCCCTAAACAATTAGGCAGATTATAATTTTGTAGCCATAATACCCAGTTAACAAGTTGCACTGAACTTGGTGAGCCATCAGTTTTACAGGACTATTATAAGTTACAGTTTGGCTTTCTGGCTTGCAACTTGCTAATCTTGGTTCGAACAGAGGCACGTTGCTATTCGGCAATTGTCAAGGTTTTCCTGACACCGTGTCTAGTACCTGCCAATAGTGATTGTAGGAATCTCCATTTTTCAGGAATGATAGAGGAGTTTTATCCTTTCCACATTCACTGAGATGTTAGCCAAGCCCTAAAAATCCAAGGTAAAAAAAAAGAGTCAAGGTTGCATCGAGGTCTCTGCTGGAAAGGGAAAAGCAATGAATATTAGCTTTGATTAACATCACCCAGATCCACACCCAACCAAGGGGAGGTGAATATAAATTTGAAATATGCTTAAGAGCACCATGCACTGGATTCAGAGTTAGGCATGCTTGGAGTAAACTCCCTGAAACCAATAGGACTTAAGCAAGGCTTTTAAAAATTACTTTGTGAAAGACTACACCTCCCAGAATCATCCAGGCAGCATGGCTAGTGGCCATGCTTGCTGAAGGCTTCTGGGAAAGAGGGTCCATTTATGCTCTGGGTATAAACTACAGTGCTTGTCAAATAGTACCTATTCAAAGTCTGGATTTAACACCCTCTCTCCATTTGTAACTCCTTCTCTAACACTACTCACTTGCTAAGAAGTTGCAAGGACCTGCAATCTTCCTGTTGATTTCTGATAGCCCAGGATGAAATGAACAGGCTAGCTTGGAGTGACAGCTAGGACAATAAGAATGAACAGGGGGCAGATTTCAGGACGTCCATTTTTGAGCAAGGGGAAGGTCACAAGAGTTTTGTGGAAGTGGCTCTGTGGTGGTGATGAAAGTGCCTCACCTCCCCACCCTACACCCACCCACCAAGCCAGGTTCTCCACCACCACCACCTGGATTGTAACTGTTCTATGAGAGGTTCCACCTTGATGATGATGTCATAGAGCAAGAACCTGCTCAAACAAGACATCTTAATGCTATAGAAAACAAACCCTTCTCCTTCACCCCCCCAAATAGGATTGGTCTTTGTCAATCAGCTGATTGTCACCCTAACAGGCAAAGCTATAAGACCAGAGTCTTAAGTGACCAATATTTAGGCTATGTGCCAGTTAAAAACAAGGGCACTTGTGGCACCTCAAAGAACAGTAAACTTGGCTGAAGAATAATTATGAAAAATAATGCGACATGCGGGCAAAATCATTCTAGTTTAATAAGGAATTCACAACATATTTATGCAAAGCATGAAATTGTACTTCCTAGCGTTCTGTGGTTGAAACTATTTGCATCTTCGAAACATGACACACAACTCCAACATACATGGGAATTGTTAATTATATTTTCATGAATATGAGATTTCTTTGTCTAGGACTGAATATCGCTAGCTTTGGATTTGCAGACCAATTGCTGCTGTGAATGTATCATAGCTTTAAAAGATTTCGTCTACATTGTAAACTTATTTAATAGGTCATAAGTAAGTTGTTTTCTATTAGCATTAACTCATCACCTATAGTACATTGTTTATATATCTTGATAGTTAAACAGAAAATATAGGGATATCTATATTAAAAAATCGGTATGTGACATGCTTTGAACACAGAAAAGGATGATATAAAAACCATCTGTTACTTATACAATGGAATGCTGTGTGCTATACTATTATTTAAATAGATTGTATTTTTGTACAGGACCTCAGCTTCAGAAAGATTCTACTTGTATATACTTAAATCCTATGAAATGACACTAGATGTCACTATTTTTCTAATAGTAGTATCAGAGGTGCTGCGAAGGAAACATAAAATAGAGAGAAACAATCAGCAAATGCACAGAAGACTTGTCTTTCTTTGCAGCTGACCACCCTAAGAGAGGATATTTCCACATAGGAAGCAGCATGTCGTGAGTACCTAGAACTAATGACCATTAGCCTATCACATGCAGCACCACTTACATGTTGCTGAGAAAAGCATTTCCTTTTCTCTGTTCTGAAACTACTAAACAATTTCATTGCAAAACTCCATGTTCTTGTGTCAGAAGACTTTTGTCTTTGCATGCCATTCATCATTTCACAAAGTGCCGACATGCCCTCCTGAACTCATTTTTAAAAACACTTTAGCTCCTACCTCATAAAGCAGATATCCCAATAAATGATTCATTCATCCTTTGAAATTCTTATCAGTAGTTTAAAAAATGAGTTAAACTAACATGCAAGTAAAGAAATATGCTAGGACTCGCTCCCAGATGGTTTGCTAACATGAACAGCAATGAGTCTGAAGAGCCTCTTCCATGTATTGAGGATCCGTCCGCAAGCCAGATTTTAGATGGTCTGTGGCTCTGGCTTGCATGAAGAATCTCAACATACTGAAGAGGCTTTCCTGTTTAGAACTGCTCATGAGAGCAAATGGAAAATGGATGGGGCTGAGCTATCATCTTCCCTTCCTCGCATATTTTCTTATGCTTTTGAATCATTGAACAGGGCAGATGTGGATTTACCTCAGTATTTTAATGCATGTAATTAGCAATTAGCAGAAGTCTCTGGCTTTTCAAGCGCCTTGGTCCTTATCTCAGTGTCTTTTCTCTTGCCACCTGCCCTTTCTTTCGTCTCCTCAAAAAAAGAACTGAAAACTTATTTTAAAAAAAGATAAAGAAATCAGACAAGCCAATGAAAGAAGTGGACTGAGAAAAAAATTATTTTATTTGTTTGTGCCATGGATATATATCACATTGCCACAATGGATTTGCTTCTAACCAAACCCATAACAGCCCTGTCTTCCTGGTTTCAGAAAAGAGAAGCCCCACTTTTTGCAATTCTCCTTTTATAAGATCAAGTCCATGCCAGATGGAATGGAAAGCACATAGAACGGGAAATTTTGGGTGGGTGGGGATAAGCACTTGTACGGATACTAAAGTTGGTACCATCCGGAAAACTTTAAAAATTCCTTATAAGGCACTCAGTCTTCAAGCAGTGAGTCCATGATCTGTCACACAGACAGTGCTAATTGCAGTGCTGAGTCTTATTTCCTTAATTCCAGAGGTGGATGTTGGTGACAGAAATGTGCAATTCTTTGGCAGGATTTGATGGGTGGATCCTATGACTATGAAGGAAGCAAAGGTTAATGGAAGCGTCGGCGTAAGTGGCAGGATGACAATTAAAAATTAGAGGAAAAGGGAAGCTTATTTTGTACCTGCTCCCACCTCTAGAAATGACGGTGGGTCTGCAAATGAATTTGAGCAGCCACAAGAAGCTTTTGAGAGAGGCCCATCCCATGGAAACTGTCACCCTAAAACTATCTACTCTTGCCAGAGCAGCTTACAGCTCAGCAAAGTAGTTGGAATCTTTCTACCCGTATTATAAACCTGTCAGGTAATGAAGATACAAAAAAGCGAGAGGTTCATTTGCTGTTTTGTTCCAAGTATGTTCCCTCCCCTTTGAACAGACTTGGGGAGAATTCTGGAGGGAACTTTTCGGTCATCCAGGCCCTGAAGTGCTTCATCTTCATAAGGCGAATCTTTGGTTCCCTGAGTCAAATGCAGAGGCTAAGGAGAATTTGCCCGCCATATGGGGCTCTGAGGGCTGCAGTGGCAGGAAGACCTGTGAAAAGTCAGAAGGATACATACCATATATTGGTGAGGGGATTCTAGCTTTACATGGTACACCTGGACTTAGACAATTGCTTTGTACTACATGACACTCCTGGATCCTCTCATTGTCAATGCGGACTGGCAGCAGCTGTCCCAAGGTTTCAGAGAGAAAAGCTTTTGGGAGCCTCAGAATCCTTTTTAATCAGAAGTGCTGAGGATTTTCTAACTGCAAAGCTTGTGTGTTCTACCATGGAGCTATGGTGCTTCCTCAAACTCACTTCAGCATGATCAAGGTATGTAATCAAAGTGAGGAATGTTGTGTAAAATGTTGTCAGGGCCTTAATTTGGCCTAGAGGCCCAGCATTGTGTACTGCAAAATAATATAACAATGCAAAAAAAAAAAACTTGAAACATGAACAGAGTACCTTCTTTTCTTCTTCCAAACAAGCCCTTCAGACATACGAATAATTAGGTTCCAAGGGTGTTCAGACAGACTTGAAAGCATCACCACCCATACGAGCATAGTAACCTCCAGAAATTAAAAACCAAATACCCATTATTTCTTGTGTGGGTAAGAATAACATTTTTAAAAATAGTATGTTGTATATAGCTAATTACAGTCAAAATTAGTTCAGTTTGGAATGGACACTGGAAATGCAGTTTTCCGAAATAGCAGGAAATAATACTTTTACATTCAGAACCTATTTTGAAATTGAGTTCCACTGTGTTCACAAATGTAACAGCAACATAGCAGAGACGGTGAGCTTCTTAGCCCTGTCTCCATTTCCTAAATCTTTCCACCACTCAGCAGAGTCCAGAAATGGATCTATGGGAAATACGCCTCCCATGGCCCCTTGGATCAGGAATGCTAGCCAACAGTCCACAAGCTATAAAGGGTCTGCTGCAAGCTGTCCGATGGCCAACACAGTCACAGACCATTGTGCTGGGATGGGAATGGGAAAGGAGTGGCAGCAGCCAGGAGCAGAAGTCACCGAGTAAGGTTGTTTCAAGTCAGTCCTCACAGAGGGTGTTTGAGCATAGTAACAGGCTCAGATACTCCATATTTAGTGTATTTGTTTCCAAACCCCTCAATTTCCACCTTAATAACAGCAGGATCCGCATATCGGCAGGGGAACAGTTCCAAGCCCCCTGCGGATGCCAAAAACCATGGATAATAGCAAACCCTATACATAGCCTGGTCTATGGCTCCCTCCAGTGGCTGGTTCTGGTAATTACATTGTGGAAACATGTACCGTACAGTATTTCTGATTTTTTTTCTCTTTTTATATATTTAACATATTGAGGAAGAAAACACCAATTTCACAGATATGCGGGTCCTACAGTATAGCACATTTTCTGTGTTAGATTATATACCTCAGCAATCCTGCCTTCTAATTTTATTCAGCTACAGTATCCTGTAGAGCCCTGGGAGCCCTAGATATTTGCACATTGCTGTTCCTACTGAAAACAAGTCCAGTGCATGGATTTGGCCCACAGTTCAAGCTGAGGTAACAGAGAATTTTGGAAGAATCCTAGTGCAGGCATCTCATGGGACAGTGGAACAATGAATAGTGAAGATCCTTGAACAACCTGAGCAAAAGGTGTTGAAATTATCACACACACATATAATAAATTTGCCAACCCAGCATGGACTGTTCTGTAAACATTGAATAGGGAAAGCTTTTCAGTGCCCTCTTTCCCTTTAAGAATTCCCACGATAGGTGATGTTAGTGAATGTGGAGGTGGCTCCTTTGTACAATGGGTTGTTGGCCTGGAATACAAGACAATAAACTAAGATTAAAATGCTATATATAAAACAGTCAGAATATTTTTCACATTTACTAATTAACTGTGTCTACTCTATGTACTTAAAACTTTTAGTCCAGGGTACCTAGTTAGCTAGGGATCTCTGAATTGAAATGGAAAAGAAATTGACATTTGCAAAATCTTTCAACAGTTTATGCAATTCATGGCATTTGAGACTTGGCAAAAATACATGCATACCTCATAGAACTGTCTCACTTGGGAGGAACCATAAACAGCAGCTTCTGTCTTTCCCCCCTCTCCATTTCTTTTTGACTAATACTTGAATAAATACACACAATTCAAATGCGTATCTTTGAAAATTATCTACAAAATGCTTTAGTCAATGAAGAAAAATGCATACAAAATTATATACATTGAGGAAAATGTATGAAAAAATGTATTAGGAAAACTGCATGTCAACATATGCACTAATTTTCATTCCTTAACAAAGTCCTTTGACCCATTAACAAACAAGGATGAGAAGAAAACGGTAATACTGTATTTGGAAACATGCAACTAAAACATGCAACTAAATCACTGGCCAGGGACATCCCCATCTCCACCAAAGGATCAGAATTCTCTTCTCAGAAGTGGAAACTGTAACAGGCCCTGATGAATAGTACTATAGGGAGATGCATTCCCCATGCCCCATATCTCGCTAGCAACATAAGATTGAAAATATAGTCACTACTGCATTACTATTGCCCTCCAACATCCTACAAGCATTAATCAATGAAAGAGAGCAAGGAGAAAGAAATACTAATACAGTGCTGGCTAACCATATGTTTTCTCAACTACATACTGCTTGGAGAGTTGTGGCTTAGTGGTATCCACACATTTCTCCATAATGTTCAGTTTGCACCAAAAACTGAGATAGAATTACTATAAATTTGAAATGCGAATGACTCACAGTATCAAGGACCCTAAATGAAAGAAACTGATGTAGATCTGTTTTCTGCACCATCCAGCTGTTCTAATATTTCTTACCGTGTCCCATCTAGCCCTGGCCCGCTCTTCTTCAAACTTGGCAAACTCCCGCCGGTCATGGATTGTAATAAGCAATTTCCAGATGAGGAGGACAGCCAAGCCAATCAGCAAGACAGCTCCAGTCACCGAAAGGAGAACGACCAGAACATCAGGCCCTTTGGGACAGTCTGTAAGAGAAACCCATATCATGATCCAAAGTTGCAAAGCTTTTCCTTAGCTTAGTGGACCCTTACAATCCCTACTCTGGTGCATGTAATCACACATACACATGATCCAGTCCTTATGGCAGAAGGAAAAAAGAACAGCAGTAATTTCATCTAGAGCTACACATGTACATGTCAGTCAGTGCTGCAACATTTTATACAAGCAATTATTCTCCTTGGCCCATTTGCCTGCAAACCTGGCCAGGGAAGGACAATTTGAGGAAGTTTTGTTGAGAAGGAGGACTTTTAGTATGACTCCTTTACACCCTGATGGAAGAGAAGATCCTCTTTAGAATCTGATGAAGAGCTTCATGAAACACATGCCACCTTTTCATCTCCACCCCAGTTATGCTTATATTCTTTCTAATTCACATTTAGCACTGTAGTGCTCAGCCAACTACAAAGGAAGCTATCATTTACACAAAGCCCAAGACAAGGAGTTAAACTGAGCTTCAAAACATACATTTTTTGGGACTGTAACTTCCTGAATCGCTCTGTCAGCATGATCTGTCAGATTTCGGGAGTTGTTATCTAGAAAAGTGATATTTCCAACCTCTGGCTTTAAGTGACAGAATCAGAATTCAAAGTGGATTATCAGCAAAACTTTTCTCATGACCAAAACAAGACAATAGCAACAGATAAGCTGTTCAGGATGACAATGAAGCCTCCCTGAGTGGTTTTTAGCGATAGTCTGCGTGCACTGATTGGCTCAATTTGCCCTGACAGCGTTTCTCCATTGTTGCAGTGTCTTAGTGAAATCACTCACCATGCCTGTTGCTCACTGCTCCACAGTTTGGTGGGGAAAAAAATCTAGATGAGAGTGCAAAAATTGTTATCTTTAGTGACATGCTGGAACCAAGGCTTTTCTATGCCTTGAGTTGTCCAGGTTATTGTTGCCAAGAAAATTTATTGCCACTAACTGGAAGGCTTTCCAAGCAGTCATTTCTTTGCCACACAGATGAATAAGTTGCTTCTAAAAAAAATTCCTAGGAAAGTCACATATCACCTATCGCATAACTACATTGTTCTGTATTCTTTTCTGCTTTTGTGTGGGGTGCTTAACATTCCCATGGTATCATAAAAAGAGTGGCAGTTTTGTGGTTTCCAACTAGGCATTAGCTAATGTGAGACTGCATTCCACAGAGGGTTTGGCCAGGCTCCCCTCAAAGCCCATTGTTGTTTAGTAGTTAAGTCATGTCAGACTCTTTGTGACTCCATGGACCAGAGCATGGTCCATGGGGTCCATGCCTCCCAGAGTTTGGTCAAATTCATGTTGGTCGCTTCGATGACACTGTACAACCATCTCGTCCTCTGTCATGCCCTTCTCGCCTTCACACTTTCTTTCCCCATAATCCAACACGTTAGCAATTTCCTCTGCCCCCTCGAAATCCAGCTTGTAGATCTGGGACTTCTTGGTCCACATACTGCTGAAGCCTACCTTGTGGGACTTTGAGCATAACCTTGCTAGTGTGTGAAATGAGTGCAATAGTTGGAGCATTCTTTGGCACTGCCCTTCTTTGGGATTGGGATGAAGACTGATCTTTTCCAGTCCTCTGGCCACTGCTGAGTTTTCCAAACTCAGGGTCTTTTCCAGAGAGTCTTCTCTTCTCATGAGATGGCCAAAGTATTGGCGCCTCAGCTTCAGGATCTGTCCTTCCAGTGAGCACTCAGGGTTGATTTCCTTCAAAATGGATAGGTTTATTCTCTTTATTTATTTATTTTTATTTATTTGATTTATCTGGTCGACCACTCTGGGTGGCTTCCAATAAGGTGTATATGATAAAACATAAGGATTTTACAAAC